GAAGGGGGAAGCAAAGGGAGGAAGGGGGGGGGGACACATAGAGGTCAGAATGATTGGTTTTTCGTTTCAGTGAGAGTTTCATGGCACTTGCAAAACAAATAGGTAATGGTATGGTGTGGTATGGTATGGGTTTAACGGCCCTATCTACTCTATTAGGTTATTTAACCCCTTCTATGCCGCATGCAAATAGGCCCCTGTGCCCAGGGAAATCCCACGAATCAAGGGTGCTCAGGGGTGGCCCCACTCTGCCTCCCATACCTTTTTTTCTAAAGAATATTTTCTCATGAATTTCTGCATATACATTCTATATTGAACCACATAGCTATTGATATAAAAAAATAATTTGGTGGGGGGGATGGGGAATTACATTGAGAGATAGATGGAGAAAAGTTGGAGTTAGTAACATGATGCGAAAAACAGCACCACCAAGCAACATAAACAACACACATTCGAGCAATGATAAACTGAGACCCCCAAAAATGGGGAATATGTTGTGTGAGTGTTTGCAGGTAAAGAGGAAGTGACAAGAGGCTTTTCGTACCTTATACAACACTCGTACAACTATATAATACACTCTGGTGAATGTTCTTATTTTCTTTTGGATTTACTATTACAATTCTACACTTTCCTCAGTTCTATGGATTACACTTGTGCGGCGTATATTACATTGTGTTGAGCAAGATTCTAATTTTATCTCAACTTGACCTTGATCGTGACTGTGAACAATTAATTTAAGTTTACAGCTGCTATAAACGTATTTTCAATTTCAGTGCGACGCATCGTGATCGTGAGAGACAAGGAAAGAAATCGTTGCATGTGAGGCTGTCAAAAGTGGCCAGCCAAAAAGCAGATAGCAAAATAAAAATATGATTATAGATTTCCAAACTGCGTGGTTGGTGGGTGCTCTGGTATAGTTTTCCCCTTCCTTCCTATCACACACCTATCGGCGCACTCCCCTATTTTACTTTGTATGTTGCTCTCTAGTAACATGACCTCTTTAGTTTAGTTTAGTATGGGGTTTTACGGCGCTCGCAACTGCATAAAATGACCTCTAATCTGTGGCTCTTTCTATGTGAGTTCTGAGTTGCTGATGCTGGACAAGTCTTATTGAAACTCTGTGGCACTTTCTACATGAGTTCTGAGTTGCTGATGCTGGACAAGTCTTATTGAAACTAAGGTGTTCAAAAGTTAGAACAAAGTAGTGATAGGGTGTCAAAAGTATTCCAAATGATAAATGAATCTGCATGCATGTATTACGTACTTACTACCACAGCAGAAAATGTACCTGACTGAAACGGTAGTTTGCTCTCGTGCATTTCCCACTGACTGAAACGGTAGTTTGCTCTCATGCATTTCCCACCTGTTGTATCATATTATTTGGCATAGGTGGGACAGTTTATGATGCCCTCAGATGCTCTTTGAGAGCCTCGTAAAAAGAATTCGATGTAATTTTATTTTAAGATGTGCCATCGGTACGACCATATTATTATGTTGTGGCTCCCCAGCACCGAAGAAGAGAGCAACTACAGAAAGTTCAGCTTCTTCTTTTTCACCGTCTAAATCTATTGATATTGACGATGAAATGAACATATTCAATCAAAGGAAGTGTAGCTTTCAAATTCCACCTCTTTCATCAAACGCTAAATTTAAACTGACAACCATCGGCAATCTTGCAACTTGCAGCAAAAATAACAAAGCATTTTGTATTGTTCAGAAGAGCTCCAAGTGGTCTCTTTCTTTGTCTATGAATTTTGTTGTGATTTCCCACACTCATGACAAAGTGCCACTTTAGACTGTAAGAACTAGATTTGATAATATAGCATTAATCGTGGAGGGGTACATTCTCACATTCTCAGACTCATTAATCTTTTGAGACTTTTCCTTACAGGTCTACCTGCCTGTTTGTGAGGGAGGGGGGGGGGG